GTGCGGGGAGGGAAAATAATGACCCAAACTGATGAGGAACAAACAGGACTGGACGACTGACCCACATCAGAACAGCAAAAATGTCAAGGCAGACAGGACTGCCCGAACTTAAACTCCGTGCACCTGTTAGTCCTCCCTGCCCGAATATCCCAATGACTTGGTTGCCCAAAGAAATCCTGAAGAGCACATAAGTAAATTCAGGGCAGTCTGTCTTCTACAATGATCCTCACACAGCAAGGTAAATGGCCACTTTATAAGCGAGGACTTTAGAATGAAGGGGCTTTGAAAGAGCCTTCAGTTAGGTCCATTATTCTTGAATTTGGAAAGATAAAATTTTACTGCCAACTTTCAAAATATACCTTTTCCCCTAGAGAATTATTAGTGATGTTGTCTCTTGAAGAAGGGAAGAACGGAGTAGAACTGATTTATGGGGGGCAGGGTGTGTGTGTGTGTGTGTAGAGACAGTTCTAGGTATAAATTCCAGGATAAAAATTCGATACTTTTCCTGATTCAATAAAACAGAACTTCCCGATTCAATGAAGCAGATTCACCATTCCTGTGCTTCATCCCCATAGATAGAGAAAAACAAAACTTTGAAGCCAATCAGCTTGAGTTCAAATCCTGGCTTTACCATTTATTTGTTATGTAGCCTTAGCTTAAGTGACATAATGTCTTAGGGCCTTAATTACTTCACATGTCAACAGAATTGTTTGTGAACTTAAAAGATAGAGTGAGTTAATATTATACACTATGTAAATAACATGGTAAAAACAAAACGATGCTTGGTTCATAGATGATACTAAAAACATTCTTCTCCCTTGGCCACCTCTGGTTCATGTTGACAGAGTACAAACATCATAAACAAACACCTTTCTCTTCTATGCCATTGATGCATGAAAACTTTCATCTACAACCTTAAGCCTGTGATCACAGAATGGAATGTTGGGTCAAAGGATTAAGATGCAATCATGATTCTCTTACTCATCTACTTTGTGAGTTTGGAAGATCATGGAACCAGACAGTTAAAAGGGATTTTTTTTTTTTATATCTTTCTTCAAATCTTAAGCCAGTCAGGAACTTTTTCCATTTACAATATGAAATAATCTGTAGAACAAATACATGATATCATCTAAAAATAACTTTGGCAACTTGGAAATAAATTTTAAAAAAAACAATACAGTGCATTTGGTTGCTAAGGGAAACTTTCTGCAGCTTTGGGGTGGTAGTAAATTAAAACATCTCAGGTCATTTCAAGCAATTAGTTCTCTATGACCAAGAGACTCATTGGATTAGAGCAAAAACAGACCTCAGAGTGTATCAGTTGCTTCCAACCAAGGCCTAGGTCCACCTATCCCAGATGTGCACACTCCCTTATGTGCTCAGAAATATGTTGTGAGGGGAACATGAATCGATAAACATTTATTGAGGGATCACTGACATATGAAAAAGGGTGCAATTTGTTAATTTTTCACATGCCTATACCCTTGTAAAACCATTGCTACAATCAAGATGCTCAATTTATCCATGAGTTGTGGGGGCTTTTTATTGCCCTGGCAACTAGGAGATATTAGATATTACTGGCAGGGCCTAGGGCTGCCAGATCTCCTGAAATGTTTTCTTGTATAAAGAATTATCTCATCCAAAATAGCACCTCTGTTGAGAAACACAGGGTTCCATCCCTTTGCTAATCCTTTGAAGAATCTAAGTCCAGTGAGGAAACTGAGGCAACCCTAACATAAGTTTCTTCTGTTTTAATGTAAATATACCTGCAATGTGTAGGTTAATCAAACAACCAATACAGTGTCTGTGAAAATTCTAGGTCAGATTCAAATGTCTAATGTTGTGTTGACATTTGAAACGTGTAAGTCATCTAAAATGATGTGCGAGAGTGGATGCCTCTGATTAAGAGACAGTCAGCAAGCTCCCTCTCCACATCTGCTGCAGCTACTGTGGATGAATGACAGAGTGAAGGCCAGAGATGCAATTCCAGGTGTTTACAACTTTGGTTTCCTGCTCCTCAAGGAAAAGGTGAAAACATCATCGTGCAGCAGGCTTATATAAATCATCCATGAACCAAGAGTGGAGTGAAAATATTAGGAAAATAAACTGCATTTTGTAGTGAACATGCACAGACATTCTTGCTGTTATTCTCTAAACTATTTACATACTCTTACATCCTATTAGGTATTTTGAGTCATCTAGAGATGATTTAAAATATATGGGAGGAAGTATATAGTTTATACAAAAATACTATACCCTCTTATTCTAGGGTCTTGAGTATAAATGGATTTTGGTATCCATGGGTCCTCTGTGGATACTGAGGGGTGACTGTGGATACTGAGACTTGGTCCTCTGTGGATATTGAGGGGTGACTGTGCTTGGAAAGTGCCTTTAAGTATCTAACTGGTGAGACAACCTTGATTCTGTACTTCTTGTTGTAAAGCTCTGATACACTGTCATGTATAATTTAGTTAGTAGATGTAATTTCATATTTAAGGTATCAGGTTAAAATAATTTTGGATTATTTTTAGTTGTAAGCATTATGTAATAACTCCAAGAACAAAATTTGTTATTACTAGTGTTAGGCCAGTTGTTCTCAAGTTTTTATGTGCTTAAGAAGCCCCAGGAGAGCTTGTTCAGATTCCTGGGCCCCCACTCACAGTGTGGCCGATTCAGTTGGTCTGGAGTGGAATCCAAGCATCTTCATATCTAATACGTTCCAGGTGATGCTGATACTGCAGGTCTAGGGATTTACATTTGGGCCATGCTTTCCTCAAGTGCCTGTCAATGGTTGGCCATGTTGATTGGACATTGAATAGAAGAGATTAGCAAGGAGCAGTTGGCCCTGCTGGGAGCACCTAAGTGTGAGGAAGGAGCACTCCCACCTTCAGCTATAACTGCCCACAGCATCCTGAACTCACTGTCAGCACCATCTCACTAAAGTCTTCCGTGTCTCTTGTTCTTTGTAGCGAAAGAAAAAAATAAGACTGAAATGTCTGGGTAGAGGCTCTAGAAGACCATGAGAAGTAAGAACACCCTACAAACATGTTTAGAAGAATGTTAAGCCTAAAAAAATGTCCCCAAGCATGACGATGAATTCATGATCATATGACTTTCAAGAGAAACAAATGTTATGAATACACAATTTTTTGGAATGGTAAGTAGCATGTTAAAGACAACACAGAGAAAGTTTCCAACTACAGACAGAACAATGTCACAGCAAACATTCTCTCTTAGTTCTTGGGATTGTTCATTTTCTGTCTGTAATCTTGTTCTTACTGCTGCTAGAGGACCCTAGAAAAGAAAACTTCAAAACTTCCAGTGGCTTTGATTGGGCAAAGGGGAGGGAGGGTTGGGGAGGGCCATAAGGGGCAGAGACAATCAATGGTGGAATGAGATGGACATCATTACCCTAGGTACATGTATGACTGCACGTGTGGTGCAACTGTACATTATGTACAACCAGAGAAATGAAAAGTTGTGCTCCATTTGTGTACAATGAATCAAAATGCATTCTGCTATCATATATAACTAATTAGAACAAATTAAAAAAAATTTCCAGTGGACCAACTTCATTCTATGCTAAGGGCATTTAAAGCAAAACTAGGCTTCAAAGCTGACTTTGTACAACTTATGGGGTCCTTTCTGATTACACGGGGAGTTACAGTACATTTACCTAAAGGCAATGATATCAGGGTGCAGAGGTAAATGTGCAAATATCATTCTCCTAGAGTTTCTAAAAATAAAGCAATGAGAATCCAACACTGGGGGTATAAAAATGTCACTCTAGTTACTCTCACCCTGGACCAATAATAAATAACAAAAATGGCTTATTTGGAAGACAAATATTGATTTTAAATATAAATGTGTCTGAAAAGTCAATCCTCATAGCCTCCAAGACAAAATAATTTTCCCCAAGTTCCCATATTGAAGATCTTCATTTCTATTTCATAGTTCATTTTCTTTGAAAAATTCTATCATCATGGTGACAATTCTAATATTATAAGGATTGCTTCTCCTCTTCCTTTACTAAGGTGGTAATGATCTTTAAATCTGTATGTATTTCTTTTATTGGGATGTAACAGACACAGCATAAATATACTTTAAGGATACAGTTTTATGGCATTAAGTACATTCACATTGTTGGGTAACCATCACCATTATCCATCTCCATATGGATTTGCTTTTAAACAACTGATTTTTTTTTCTCTCTTCAGACTGATAAATGCTAGAAGCAACATGGGTAATTTTGGTGTATTTGCAAACATGATATCAAAATAATAGGATTTGCCAGATTTGGTAGCACAGGCCTGTAATCCCAGTGCTTTGGGAAGATGAGTCAGGAGGACTGTAAGTTCAAAGCCAGCCTCAGCAAAGTTGAGGTGCTAAGCAACTCAGTGAGACCCTGCCTCTAAATAAAATACAAAACAGGGCTGGGATGTGGCTCAGTGGCCAAGTGCCCCTAAGCTTAATCCCCAGTACCAAACAAATAAAAAAAACCACAGCAGGATTCTTGTATGTTTTTCTGGGGAACAGTTAAGTTAAAGTCATCAAAAAAAAAAAAAAAAAAAAAGGGCTTGGAAGACCAAATTCAGATGCAAGGTCCAATTACAGGCCCACCAGCCCATTCTTTTAAATGAGGAACAGTAAACATCTAGTACCACTTGCTGTTTAATGGAAACTCTTTTTCTAATCCCATGGCAGATACTACTCTGTGATTACTGCACCCTTTCCCACTGAATCTCTACATCTTTCGTCATATGGTCTTCCAGGCATTCATCACCACTAATTATAACTGGCCTACAGATAAAAATACTTACCATCTCCATATAAAAATGTGAATCATCTATTATAATAAGAAGTAACACTATGCAGAGCCAAAGGTCCAACATATACATCAGTACATGTAAACATGCATACGGTAGAAAAGCACATCAACACAGGATGTCATAATGAAGGTTGCTCACCACGGAAATCATCACGAATAAAAATGTTCTTACCTGGGTAGGAACACACTTTCCACCACATAAAAGTCTTGCATAAGAACATCTCGTTCTGGTTTGGAAGTGAGATTCCCCACTGTGTATCCTATTCCTAGCTGAATAGCACCTTTAATAGCAGATGATGCAGTCTGCAAAGAAACAAGAGTCTTGATGTTAGCCTTGAGAGTCAGGGCTTGTTCAATGTCACAAGCAGCAAAGCAAGAAAGAGGTTAGTTACATTTTCCTTCTTGTTCTGAAACAGCAAGGCAGCCGGGGGTTGGGAAAATGATAAGTTCCTTTGTTCCTTTTTTTTTTTTTTAAATGAAGAATCTATTCTGAATACCAAGGATCTTTTTTGTCATAAAATTATTTTTTGTGATATTGTTTCTCACAAATATTTCTAGGATCAAATTACAGCCCCCCAATCTATCTTTCTTTTATTAAGAACTAGAAAACTTGGTGGGACACTTTGAATACATAACATTATAATTTCTACCCAAAGATAAATTTTAAAACCAGAATTTTTTTCTTTGGTACCAGGGATTGAACCCAGGGGTACTTAACCCCTGAGTCACATCCCAGCCCTTTTTTGTATTTTATTTAGAGACAGGGTCTCATTGAGTTGCTTAGTGCCTTGCTAAGTTGCTGAAGCTGGCTTTGAACACACAATCCTCCTACCTTAGCTTTTTGAGCTGCTGGGGTTACAGGCGTGCACCCCTGCACCTGGCTCAGAGATTTTTTTAAAAATCAGAACTTTTATAACATACCTATGGATCGATGAGAGTATTTTATCTTCGTAAGAAATGAGAGAGTGAAAAATAACTGAAGTCTGAAATTTAATTTGCAAATTGCTTACTAGTCTTACCAAAGATCCATAATCAAAATTTCCTACATTGATCTGTGATAAAACATATAACACTGGGACACCAATATTACCAATTTATTAATTTTCTAACATTATTTATAATTAAGTTGATAAAATGTTATCTTGAAGAATAACCACCATATGTGTATACACATATGTATGCACATGTGTTTATATGCATATTTGCATATATATATGATATATAGGGAGAGAGAGGGTATTAATTGACAATAAAATGACAGAACAACTCAATTTAGGAAAATCAGAAATTTTTCTTCATGGTCAAAGCATGTCCTACTTTTTATGTCTTATTATGCCTAATGTTATTACTATGTACACAGTAGTAGGAAATAAATCTTACATGAGTGGTTCTTAACCAGAGAACCTCTGAAGACACATTTTGGTTATCATAACCTAAGGCGACACGGGGTGCTGCTGGCATCCAGTGATTAGATGCAGGGATACTGTGAAACACCCCACAATACACAGGACAAACCCCCTCAAAGAATTATCCAGCCCAATGTCAGGAGAGCCAAGGTTGAGAAACCATTAGTTAAAGGAATATAGTAAAGATCATCCATCCATCTTATAAGAAAAATACTTTTTTTGAAATTCATATTTACTGTTAACTAATTCAAGAATGTACCCACACCCCTACATACTTTTTATTTTTCATGCTTTAACACAAAGAACTTTTCTCTCTTCTTGAAAAAAATCTTTCCTCAATGTCTCTGATAAAACAGTCCTAGGATGGCTTCTAGCTTGTCTGGTGGTCTCTCTGTGATCATTTCCTCACTGACTTGTCATATTCTTATATTCTGCTTGTTATAATAATTGCAGTGTCCCCAACAGTTTGATCCTCAGACTCTTTAGTTGGCTTTAATAAATTCATTCTGAATAGCATCAACTACTGTGTTCATGCATAAGACTTTCTGATCTTTGCCTACTTGGATGCTCTTTTGCCACCACACATACTAACATATAGAACCAAACTAGTATATTACAACCTCTGCACTTCACTTCTAAGATTGACTTCCTTTACCAAGGAATTCAGTCAACCCAGCTTGAACCCCAAATAGACTATATCTAGCACAGGCTAAGTCTCTGATGAATACTTGTTGACTTCACCTGAAATGGCCGTGCTTAGTATTGTAAGGCACCTCCACATCCAATGAGTAACAACCATTTTCCATAAAGTCATTTAATCACTTTGCTTATTCCATTGCAAACATTATTTATTTCACCCTTAGTCTGAGGACAACTACCTACAGCCTTGACTCTGTAGAAAAAGTTCTTGATATTTTTCTTTTTTTCACATTGACTTTTACTTAAGATCCCAGGGTAAAAAGATGCAAAAAGACTGAGACTTAGGCTCATAGTGCATCTAGTGCTTAAAAAAAAGTTTGCTATTTTAATATTTCCTCTCTGAGCTCTGCAATGCCACCAGTTGGCATCAGTGACCTTTTGTACCAGTTGTTTTGAAATCTGAAGGCAGAAATGGATTTTCCTTGTTTTAACCTCACATAAAAATTCAGATGGCATCTATTTTCCCACCTATCACTCAGAGTGGTATGGCACAAGATGTGACTTTAGCACTTTCCAGAGGATCTGGCACCCCAAAACATTCTGTTTCAGCCCTATCAACAGACTTACATGCTTTTTAAGTGCTTTGCCCTCTCTGCACCCCTTCCCCTACTATGCTTCCCAGAATTACCTGGATTTCTGCTTAATTCATGGGATCACTATGATAATAGTCGTTCAGCATTTCTTGGGCTGGAACAACCTGTCAAACAGTCCCCAATTCTTTGTTGTCCCTCCCTGACAATAGAAAGCAGTCAAGGTTGTGAGTGGGCTGTATTTGGGATTCTCAGACTTCAGGGAATAAGAGAATCCCAGGGGATGCTGGCTAATGCATCTAGATGATGGGTCATTATCCTTAGAATTTCTGATTCTAAAGGTCTGGAGCGAGGCACAATAATCTTCTCTTGCTCTAAGAAACACTTAAAAAATCTTTCTCTTAACGGTATAAGTTTTGAGTTCCTGAGGGAAAAAGATTTTGTAAAGGACTCCATGACATCAATTTAGTTAAACTCAAAGCAACAGTCTCATAATCATTTTACTTTCCATGCATATTTCTTAAAATTCAAGTACTTGAGTGAAATAGAACAATAAAAGTTAACCATTTTTTATCAAACTGATTTGTTCCAGATACTTGATACATGGATAGCAACAATTATAATTTGTAATCATCATGGCACACGCTTATATAGTGCTTATTAAATGGCAGGCATTGTTCTAAGTGTTTTCTGGTTATATTAATTCTTATCCTGTGATGCAGGTTGACTCACATCTGTAATTTCAAACCTTGAAATTTGAAATGCTCTAAAATCTGAAACTTTTTGAATACTGACATGATGCCACAAGTGGAATTTCTATACCTGACTTGATGTGATGGGTCACAATCAAAATGCAGGTAAACAACACAGTTTATTCAGAGTCCTCAAGGGAAAAGACTCTACCAGTTCTGTCAGTGGTGATACATCAACTTTGTTTTATATACAAAATCATTAAAATATTGTATAAGATGATTCACATTTAGACTTGGTAACTGTCCCCAAGATATCTCACTATGCAAATATTCCAAAATCAAAAATAATCTGAAATCTGAGATATACCCTTTTCTCAAAAATTTGTATCAGTGATACTCACCCTGCATCATTTTTATTTGTAAAATTTTTCCACATTTTTTATTGATGCATTATAGTTGTATATAATGGTGGGATTTACTGTAAAATATTCATGCATGCACATAATGTACCAATATAATTTGGCCATCAGCATTCCCCAGTATTTCCCCTTTCTCTCCTCTCATCCCTCCCACTGTTCCCTCTTCTCTTACTCAATTGATCTCCATTTCTTTGATTTTTCATGGGATGGCTCCAACTCTTTCTTTTTTTTTCCTTTTTCATCTCTAGCTTCCAAATATGATTAAAAAATGACCCTTGACCTCTGACTTTGGCTTATTTTGCTTAACACAAAGTTCTCAAGCTTCATCCATTTTCCTGAAAATGATATAATTTCATTTTTCTTTATGGCTGAAAAAGACTCCATTGTGTGTATACAACACTTTTTCTTTATCTATTCATCCATTGACAGATACTTAGGCTGGTTCCATAGTTTGGCTATTGTGAATTATGCTGCTTTCTAAAGGGGTATGCAGCATTACAGTGTGATGACTTTTTTAATTCCTGAGGATAAATACTAAGGAGTGGTACATCTGGGCTACATGGTAACTTCATTCCTAGTCTTTTGAGGAATCTCCATACTGATTATCATAGGAGCTGTACTGAAGTACAGTCTTCACCCTATATTACTATTTCCATTTTACTGACTCAGGAAGGTTTAGCAACCTCTATAAGGTCACACAGCTGGTGAACAGGTAGGGCTGGGACTTATAACCGGTGTGTGTGTGTGTGTACTGGATCCAGAGTCTAAGTTTTAAACAAGTACTCTTTACTGATTCTAATATCAGAACCTTTGAATTCTTTCAAGGATCCTGAAGCATGGTACAATTATTACTGTTTTACAGATGGGGACTTTGGCCTCAGCAAGCTAGATGATTTGGTCAAGCCACTCTTCAGGTGTGTGGCAAAGTCTGGCTGCCAACACCCAGGCTGCTCCCACATATGTTTTTTTTTTTCAAAATGATCCAAGAATCAAAGTTGGAAATTCTCTTTAAAGCTGAATGTTTGATCTCAGCACAGGACAAGGTTGTTGAGAGAGCCATTCCTTTTGATGAAATAGGGATAAACTATTTTATGTTTTCTAATAATACACAATCATGTTTAAGTCAAAGAAAAACTCATAAACCTCCTGGTAAATCAGAATAGACATAATCACTAATGCCACTCTTCTTAACATGGACGTTATTAACAGAAGGCAATATTCTTCCCCGGGAGGGATGACTCCTCAGTTTCCTCTTCCCCATCTCTGTGTAAAAATTAAATGCTTTAACATGGATGCATGGGAGGGGTATACACAGCATCTTGTCTGCTTCATGGATATCTCAATATAGTCACTGTGGCACGTTTTCTTAAAACACCAGAAGAAAAGGTCCCATCATCTGACTATTCCCCAGTCGACATCTGGCTTGGTCTAATGTTGATCAAGATGTGCTTTAAAACTATGAAGAACACACTTAGAAACGCTACCTGAATGTCTCTATTAGAGGTCACTAAGTTCTGATGGTGACAAAGAAGTTTCAGTGTGAAGTGCTAGTGATTG